ATTGAATTACATATTTACAGTGATTTTGTGTTCGAGGTGTTTTACCCCCCGTAGGGGTAATATTTATTAAAACACCGAAAGACGTCAACTAAATTTCGTTATTGTAGATGTTTAAACATTTTTTCCAATTTTTTTTAGTCGGTTTAAACTTTTTTATTATAAAATTATGCCAAAAAATGTATGTTTTCAACCCCTAAAAAATAGGGGATGCTACCCTTACTCTTCAAATTATCATAAAATACTTGCTCCTTTTATAAGAAATAATCTCCAATTTCTTTCACTGAAAAATATTAATTTTAAGCCGAGATATTAAAAAAAATACACTTTTTGGGGGTTAATTTTAGGGGAGGTTTTTACCCCTTAAAAGTGAAAATTAGCCGATAAAAAAATACGTGTCTGTTATTTTTTTATGTTCTACAATATGTATCAAAATCATCAAAATCGGGGAGTTCGGGTTGGGTACCTTTCCTTGTTAGACTTAGTCCTTTGAGTTTGCAAGCAATTGTTTGAGCGCATAAATATTGAGTGTACGAGGTGTGTTCAAAAAATAACGAGAATTTTCGTTTTATGAAAAAAATATTTATTTATTCATCTACATTAATGTTATCGCCTTCAAAGTAGTCCCCTTCGGATACAATACACTTATGCCAACGCTTTTTCCAATCCTCGAAACACTTTTGAAACTCGATCTTTGTAATAGCTTTTAGCTCTTTCAGCGATTCGCTTTTAATGTCATCTATGCTTGTAAAACGACGGTCTTTTAATGTTCTCTTTATTTTTGGAAATAGAAAAAAGTCACATGGAGCCATATCTGGCGAATATGGAGGCTGAGGCATCGTTACAGTTTCGTTTTTGGCCAAAAATTCACGAACAAGCAATGAAGTGTGAGCAGGCGCATTATCGTGGTGCAAAAGCCATGAATTGTTTTGCCACAAATCCGGAGGTTTTTTTCGGATTGCTTCACGCAAACAACGTTGAACTTGTAGGTAGTACTGCTTATTGATTGTTTGACCTTGTGGCAAGAATTCATAATGCACTATGCCATTAAAATCGAAGAACACAGTGAGCATAACCTTCACATTCGACCGCACTTGTCGAGCCTTTATCGGTCTTGGCGATCCAGAATGCCTCCACTGGGACGATTGAGCCTTAGTTTCGACATCATATCCGTAAACCCATGTTTCGTCACCTGTTATAACACGTTTTAGTAGTTCTGCATCGTTATTGACTTCATTTAGCGACTCCTGAGCAACTTCCATTCGCCGCTGTTTTTGTTCGAAATTCAACAATTTTGGAACGAATTTTGCTGCCACACGTTTCATACCCAAAACATTCGAAAAAATTTGATGGCATGAGCCAACTGATATGCCAACATCATCAGCGACTTCTCTGATTGTGATTCGGCGATCGTTCATAACCATTTCTTTCACTTTTTTCACGTTTTCATCGGTTGTTGATGTGCTTGGGCGTCCGGGTCGTTCGTCATCTTCAACGTTTTCGTGGCCATCTTGGAAACGCTTATACCACTCATAAATCCTTGCTTTACTCATAGCAGACTCACTATATGCCTTTGTTAACATTTGACAAACTTTACTACACTTTATTTCATTTTTTACGCAAAATTTAATACAAATTCTTTGATCCATTTTTTTTCACAAACGAAAATCGCCGAGCTCGAAAAACACGTCTAACGTTAGCGGCTGCCATTTAAAAAGTAAGCAATGAATATTGCTGAAAATTTTATCGTACTTCAGGGGCATGTGTACCAACATAATAAAAAAAAATTTTATACAAGCGGACTCTTCAAACCCGCGAAATTTAAAAATTCTCGTTACTTTTTGAACACACCTCGTAAAAAAATTTTTTTGAGTTTTAAGAAAAACTTTATACTATGTATAAAAGAGGTGTTCTTTATTTCTTGGTCATGAACCTCTCTATCAAATATAAATGTATAAATAAGATAAATCGAATTATCTTTTCGTAAAATAGTTGAAAAATATTTTGTACATTGTAAAAATTATTTCTAGACATCTCTTTCTTCAAATTGTTAAGATATCGAGATTTAAGATTCGATCAATAGAATTCTTAATGTTAAGAAAAAATTTCATCGAATTATTTATATGCAGCATAATTTAGTTGTGTGTAGTCAAAAGAATAAGAACACTTTTTAATAAATAAACTTAATATAATAATATTACTTGTACTTGAGCTTTTGAAAAATCTCCGGGTTTTTACATTCAATTCAAGAAAAAAACGAATCTTATACATGGCACTTTGTTTACCAATGCTCAGAAATTTTGTAAAACTGAACGCGAGAATTAGCAATCATATAAAATTATTTACAACATTGAACTATGGTTCTTCGATTTTTGAATCGAACCTTTACGATTCCATTTTTTCTAAACATTATATAAAATGTATGCGTATTATGAAATGTAAACTAAAAACGTTGTTAAAATAACAATACATATTTAATAAATATTGATAAAAAAACTTCTAATATTGCTGTTCCTTCGCCATTTTTTCTCTTGACTATATTTTCTTGCAACTTTGTGTAGGAATCCTTATTAAACCTATGACAGTTATCATATATAACTCTGATTCAATGATTATTAGGCTTGAAAATAGTCGACCAACACCTCGAAATTAGCATACAATATGTTGGCAAAAGACAACAAAATATGTCTTTCAATAATAAAAATGAAAACGATTAATATTTTTTCTCAATAGAGATCATTGCAGAAAAAGAGATTTATAGCCATTTTCAATATAATTTCATCTTGATAAAAGATTTACAGCTGTATCGTCTCTTTTCTTAATTCATCTAATCATTTACAGGAATACTTTCTTGTTGTTCATAAATAAAAATGTTTGTAATTACTAAGTAACGTCACCTAAAAAATGTTTTTTAGGACGAATCAAACCGGGCAAAATGAACCTCTCAATACCACACAGGAAAATAATTTTTCAATATAATAACCAATTTCCATAAAAGAAAAGTATTTGGAAAAAATGAATTATACTTACATTAGGATTATCACAACCTCTATCATTTCGTCATATGATACTTGAATGCAGACACAATATGTATCACTTCCAGTTGTAGTACCCACTGCCGAGACAACTGTGTAATGTGGTACATGACAAGGCTTTGCCTGAGAGTGTTGCATTATTTGTAACACCTCAGGGAAGCCATCCCCGTCCCTTGCCGCCTCGTAACCAGCCGGATAATTATAACCTACGCACGCCCTAATCTGGATATTAATTTCTTTTTATATCCGCCCACCTATATCCGAGAAAACGATGTAACAAGTTGAAGAACGCGCTCCGACGAATGATTGAAAAACGGAACGCACGACGAGAAAAAAGAGAGCGCACGCACATGTACACTCCCGACCACGTATTGTCGGCTGGAAAGCAAAACACTAAAACTTGACTGGGAAGTGCAGCGGAAATGCATGACAGCGGTATGTGCGGATCCGTTACACTCCCAGACACTGACACAAACACTCTGGAGATGATGGCATACCTGGGGCGACCAGAAAATCGTCAATGAAGCGGCAGCCGGCAATCAGCTGTGTGTCAGGCTGCTGCGTATCATCGGTGACACTCTGAGCGCTACACACATTGACATTGCTGCCGATCACTGACAACACCCGGACACACACACACACACACACACATAACACCCGGGCACGCAATTATATCACATGACCGAAGAGGAGCGCTCCAGGAGGCGCTTCGGAGATCAGCAACAGAGCACGAGGTTGACACGCGGGAGCGAAGGCGGCCATCTTGAAGAGCGATACAGACTAAACGAGAGGGCGCTACGAAGATAATACCGATTTATAATTATTTTATCATAACAAATAATTTTGCAATGAGACTTAGACATGGAATATATTAAAATATAAAATTAGAAATATTTGTATGCGGCCGCTATAATCTCTTAAATGTATCTCTTAAAACGACAAACAATCTGACGAATAAATTTGATAAATTGATTGATGAAATTCGAAACTCTGACGAAACTCGCTAGTGACGTCACGACCAATTAACGAATTAGAATAAAATTTGATTTCCGTCCGTATCAAAAAATAAATAAGAGTAGGGGTAGATCTTTCTCATCTATCAATGCTGGACGACTTAGTGGGGGGCGAGAAAGGGTAAATAGCGACGAAAGTAGGAGATAAAATGAGGGCGCTGTACTTTTCTAATTTACATATTGACCAATGACGAAATATTCGGAGGGCGCTACCGATATCCGAATTAGCATATCGGCCAATAATAGGATTTCTTTTCGGAAAAAGGAGAGGAAAAATGATTGTTGACCGCGAAAAGCCATTTCTCGTCTATTTTGCTACTGGATAGTCGAGAGAACAGTTCCGAAGTCCATCTCCCTTGGAATTTTCGTGTGTGTGACCTTCATTTTGGAAATAAACCGCAGTTAATTCCACGTAAGTAGTAGAAGTGCCGCTTGATATCGCGTTTGGATAGGAAATAGGTTTAATGTGTCGTAGTTAATTCGCCGGGACGCGTGGATCCGTCGCCGTCGCGATTAAGCTCACAGACCGAAACGCGCTGACATCCCGCTATTATCTAACGTTAATGTACAGACGACCGTTTAAATAAAGGATCAAGTGATTTGATACAGTTTTTGAGTGATTTGGTTACCAGTTTTCCCCTGCATGCTAATTTATTTTCAGCCTCGGACGGGATTTTATAGCAAGACTTTTATTTAATTTTCCGCACGGTACATACGCGTATACGATTTGACGAACCACGACCGAGACAAAGGAGTTAGAACTGAGTTGCCTGATATCCATTCAACACGAACCAGGAATTTTGAGGGAAGACTACAGCAGTGAGATGACATCAAAGAGGTGTTCATAACATCGAACAACGTCGGGGTTCTGAAGTTGTTTCAAATTTGAAAGCATTGGAACAACTTTGCCCGCTTTGCGCAGTCGCACGGCGGGCAAACCTACCGACGATTTCGGGTTTAAACTCGACTTCCCGATGATCATCGTAGGCTGGAGCGGTGAATTGGCGCCCTTCTAAAATAATCGAGAAAGCGAGTCTAACGAACATTTGTGGTTGCGATTTCGCTGGTGAGGCCTACGTCCCCCAAATTTCCTTTCACAACTGATAAACCTTTCTTCTACTTCTTTCTTTCTCCTTTGTTTGCTTCATCTTCACTACTGGCTGTACCTAGAAGAAAACCAATTTTAAAATATAGGATATTTAAAACAAAGCAAATATTAATCATCTTTCTTTTATTTTTATTTTTCATTCAATTTCTTTCTGTCATTTTTACTGGCTCCACTTTATTCTTTGGCTATATTACTATTCATTTATCGCTTTGTTTTAGGTTTCTGTTTCAAATAAACAAAAGTTTGAATAAAATAATATCTACTATTGACATTCTCTCTATCTGTTGAACCATCTCCACTTACCAACACAATATTTTTCCAGGGATACTAGGCAAGAGCTTCGACCGTAGCTTGATGTTTATTCAGAAAATAAATAGGCTGTATCTACATATATAAAGCAACTATATACATTAACCTTGTTAATATCAAATTGATATACAACTAGAAAAATTATGTACTTACTTTTACTTCTATTTTCTTCATAATATGGTATAGAAAATTGCATTAGTCACCTTCACATTCACCTTATTGAATTATTATTAAAAAGTTTATATTGTGTGTGATCTGAAATAATAAAATTTATATTTCCACAAAGTATTTGAATTTTACTTTTAGAATTTATAAATTATATATATATAATATTTTATTTCATAAACTTATCTGTATTTATTGCTGCTCCATCTTCAAGGCTTGAAAACACCCCCCCCCCCCCCCCGTTCCAGCCTGCACAATTTCTGAAAAATCGTGGGAAAAAATCAAAATTGATAGATTTTCATTTGCCCAATTCAAATATGCAATTGGATTTATTTGCCCACCACGTGTTCATTAAATAAAAATTATTAACTACCAATGACTATTCAACCAGCTCTCGAACCAACTCTATTTCATTTATTAACGAATATATTGATCTCACTAAAATTGTAAATAATTGCCCACGAACTAATTTAATTTGCCCAGCTAAAAAAGATCGTTAACAATAATTCCTTTCTTTTCTTTAATAATTTAAACTATGCCTGGAGAGGTTTCACGATTGTGCGTCTACTGCGCATGCGCCGATAACGGAGCGGCCGCCCGCTCATGATGACGTCGCGGATATATTCTCCATGCTCTACCTACAGTTGAAAATGCTATCTCATCACGACTAGATCTTTCGGTAATTATTTATTTATCAAGTTGATCTTTATAACATACTGTACTTAGTTCACTTACACATGCCAACACAGATTTCACAGCTTTACAAAAATATTTGTGTCTACTTTCATATTTTCAGCAGCAGAGCAGAGGCGTTTGGAGTTTTGTTTTGGGGTTTTTCCCCATTTTCATTTTGGAGCAAGAAAATAACGCCGCAACTTTTACAAACCATGAAATTATAAGTTGCATTTTATTTCAAACTATTTTCATTTTACAGCTTACTGATTTAAACATTACAATATTTGTGTCCACGTTAGAATTTATCTACTTCATAAGTAAAACGATGAAACAAAATGAAAGTTTACAAACTCAGCTATTTTTACTGACTAACTTAACCTACTTTAAAAGCAAAAATGGTAAATAAAACACTTCGTGAGTTCACCAACTCAGCTGTTTCTATTAATTAACTAAATGTTTGTGTTGGTGGTTCTATTACTAATTTATGTTTTTCATAGGTATACTCCAAATAAATGCAAATGGAACTGTATGGCAAATAAATGCAAATGCAACTAAAGTGGAGTTAGGTGTATGCTTTTTGCATAAAATAAGCTGCTCATCTTGATTGGCGGTGTGTTAACAGGTAAAATTTTTTTGTATGTTACTACATCATTCCTTTCGGTCCAGTTAGTGTTAGTTAAGCAATAAGCTATATAGTGACCAACACCGTTTTCAATCAAAGGTGGTATGAACTTGACTATTCCACATAACACAAAGGTGTTATTTTTTACTGTAATGGTTCGAGGCACAATACGTATATCAGTAGCAAACTTTTCTGATTCTATTTGTAGTTCGTCTTTGGCATATGTGCTAGCTCGATATGCCTCATCAGTATCTATCCATAAATATGCCCCATAGTATATATAATAAATAAGTTCAATGTTTTACACTTCTTGCAATTCAAAATTTTGTCTTGGAAAAACATGTTTAATTCTTGCTCTAAACTTTGATAGTTATCTACCCATGCAATACGTAAGTCTGGCAAAAAAGTTATTATTTTTTTAAGATCTTCTTTGAAACCACAGTTGTTGCAACTCAACTTTTCAAGTGTACAGTCATAGTTAATCATTAATGTTTGAAACAACTGAGTAATATTGGTGTTGCACTCAGTATGACTGGTGTTTGTATGGAAAATAGAGTAGAGAATGTGGGCACGGTTGGTGTAGAATATGCTAGCTACTCCCGTTAAAGAATAATCATACACTGTGTTGGCGTAACACAAGTATTGATTCGATTTCCTGTCATCAATACTTTTTTTAATAAAATCCTTAAAATCTATTACTTTAAAACAAGTACTACTTAATATTTCAGTGATTGTAACAAAGGCACAAGTATTTGATAATGTGATTCTGTCATTTTTCATACGCTTTCCTGGCTGCTTAGACCCATTGACAAGATTTCTTTTGCTTGCGCTATTTGAACGAGTGTGATGTTTTTGTTGCAGGTGCAGAGCAATATCAGGACAAGGCCGAACATGTATTCCTCGAATCTTTGGAGTTGAGTTGGGTTGAGCTGGATTAACTAAGGCTGGTATTGAGACTGGAGCTGAGACGTTGGCAACAGGTACGGTAGCAATTTCTAATTGTTCATCGATTATTAATGAAGATTGCTGGACTATATCATTTTTTAATTTGGCATATTTATGGTCCTGAAGTGAATGATCTAACTCCTGTACATTTAAACTGTCATTGTTATTCACAACTGATAATTCTATAATTTGGTCTGTATTTGGTAATTGTGCATCTGGAAATTGAAAAATGTATATTTTATGTTACCTATATAACAAAGTACAATACTTTAACTATAATTTGATAATTATACCTGAAAGATTTGATGCAGCAGTTTCGTTAAAAATATCGTCTTCATCAATGAGCAATTTATTGCACTTATTTCTCCATTTTTCTACTACTAGAAGATGTTCTTTATCATATTCCTCTATATTCTCATTAGACTTAATTTGCTTCTTATCTTTGATTATTCTATTTATTGCAGCTCTGGCCAGTAATATGTCAGAATGAATTTGCCGGCAATGCTTTACTAAGAACTTGTCAACCCTCATCACTGTGTTTTCCATTGAAGCCTTTATGTCGCCAATACATGCCTCAGCTCTAGCTGAGATTGCTACATCATGGGGATTATTGAAAAACTGTTGCATTACATTTGTCCAGCAAACAAAATCTTTGGCTAAATCTATCAATCTATTAGCAAAATCAGGTAAAAAATAATCATTCTTTTGAATTCCTAACGATAAGTCTAAATCACCGTCCTTCTTGACTTTAGATAATGATTGATTCTTGATGATCTGAATGTATGTATATGTCAATGTCCACTTTTCATTACTTTTTTTGGAATTTTTACTGTGTTCTTCTTCATAACTATTTTTAATTTCACTCGGTTTTATTGTAGTGGAAGTATTAAAATCGAATTCATAAGTTGCAACTAATTTTGTTATATATTTCATAGCTTGTTGACATGTGTTATCAAAAAATGGACTATATGCAACAATAAAAACACATTTTATTACTTTTTCAAAGTGATGCAACTGAGAAATTGTGGATATATACCCAATGCATTTCACAAAAAGTTTTTTAACTTGGGGATTGTCTTTGGGGTAGCAGGGCCATTCGGCCGCTGCATGCATAAGATGATCAATATCAATCCTTATCTGTGTACACAATTTCAAGAACATTGACTCTCCAAATATAATTAATAGGCAAGCATCTTTGTATGTCTTGAATGTGATATTGTTAAAAGCTAAGCAAGAACCATTCTGAATAGCTTTTCCCCTATCCATATTAAATTCTCTAGGGGCCTTTCCTCCAGATTGTATCCACGTTTGTAGCCAATTTACATAAAAAATCGTGTCATTCTTTTCAGATAGAGCTTGTGCAATTGGTACTATTTGATCTCCTATATGAGTGCACATTATGGATAAAAAAATGTCACTGGAATCTCCGTCAGGTCTATTGATTTTCAATGCTATCGATGATGTTGCATCAAGGGCCACTGCATTTCCCAACTCGTTCGCGATATCATTGTAAACACTTATTTGGGAAGGTGACCAGTAAGTCAAGCAGAAGTAGTCGTATCCAATGAATCTGATGTAATGATTAAATTCTACATTATTTTTTATTGCAGATATGGAGTTAAATAAAGGTACGCCATGCACAATTCCCAGCTCTGCGTTTTTGGCATCTTGTCTAGCGTTTTGAAGCTGTTTTAATGAAAATAAATCGGCAGGTTCTGGATCTCCATCTTTCATGCGGTTGCTCGCTTCATTTCTTCTCCATTCTTTGGGTTTTTCTTTCAGAAGTTTTTCTCCGATGATAGATTTAGCTAATTTTTGTAATCTTATTTTCTTCGTATGAACAGTGCGTGAAGTATCGGTAGTGATAACGTTGAATTTTCCATCAACGTCATTACCGACGACTTCGTGGCATACCAAGATTATTCTTGCTTGGCATTCAGCTTCTGTGCAATGCCCTTCGATCTTAATATAAGCACTATCACTGCCAACATAGTGTCGGTCGAAGCTGTACGCACAAGGCAGTTTTTGGGAATGCCAGATGCATCTTCTCATTACATCTGCCCAACCTTCTTGCAACACACTAGTTGAACGACCACTCTTGTATACTATACTTTTAGGGCTGATTAATGACCATTCATCACGTAGAATTATGATTTCAAATTTTAGATTTGATTTTTTAACGTTGCCATTTGATGGTAATATTTTTGTGTCATCAAGATCTGCTTCATGATTACTGACATGGAAATCAACATTTTCTACTTCATCTGTTATACCTACAATGATTTCTAAACCTTTTTGATCATTATAAAATGTTCTAATCCCGTGTCTATTTTGCTGTACCATTTTGAACAGATTGAGAGGTTTGATTTTACTTCCAAAGAAATTGCAAATATTCACCCAAACTGGGTCATATCTATTTTTCAGTGTGTAGTCAGAGTTGTAGATTATTTCTGTTACAATTTTTTTTTTTACTTCTTCATGTGGAACAGCTGGCTTACGTCCTGGCATTTTGTTAGTAATTAATATTTTCTCTATAGACATGTTATGAAGAAATGAATATTAATAGAATTATATCATTTAATTAATTATACTAGTTGAAATTCTTAACTCACATGAATATATAATAATTTTCAAAGCATGAAATTTCTTGAGCTCTTCCGTTATGCAGTGCTATTGCATGTTTAAAGATAACTTCCATCTCTTCAACTAGGTAAAATATTATATCAATTAGGTGTTCAATGAATTTTACAATCGAATAAAATTAATGGTGATTGATCTTACCATTTAAACCTTCAATTCCTTTGTTGCCCAAACCTAACCATGACAAAAATATACAACTCGAAAAAATATTATATGGTATGACATTAGAATATTTTATTTCTCTTTCTTCACAGTCAAATTTGATGTTCGATGCAATTCTCTCTATAATTAGTTTATCCTTTCCTTGTTGTCTCTCACGTTGTGAAAAAAATTCCAGTGCCTCGTAATACTGATTTATTACGTTCATGATGTTCTATTGCGATTTATATATAAATATTATAATATTTAATTCCATTTGCAGGTACAAAAACAAACAAAGCCGACAAAATTGATGAACTGTTGAAGAATGACCGGAAATGAGCAATGACGACGGAAACCGTTGGAAAGCCTTTGACTCATAATGACGAGCATGGTATTTCTATTGGTTCTATCCAACGACAGCGGCAAATTTTGGAAATTCAAACGTACGGATTGAAAAGAAATCTAAATTAACGTTGAGAAAATTATTGTACGACCACAATTATTTTCTGATCTAATTTACTTAGTACTCTCAAATGATATATTTTGTATATGTAACGCAGTATGAAAAAAAAGCAGACTACAAATAAAATTAACCATCTTGAAAACTTAGTTTCTGTTATATTTCATTTACTTTAATTCAATTGATTTTATGCAACAAGACTTGTACATCCGCAGCTATAAGATTAAAATAAAAATGAACAAGGTATAAAAAAAATATTGGGTCGCTGTATGATTAATAGAACCATTCTACCGTTCAAAATGGGTTTGAAAACGTATGTATGTATGTATACATAAATGTTGTTTTATTCATTTTTGTGTATATATTTTTGTTCTATCACTCAAATTGTAAGCCAAATAATTTCAGTAACTAACAATCAGTATCCGAGTAGGTATGGAATTTGAATTGTAGAGAAAACCCCGCTAACGCTGCGTTGCACATGCGCGTTCAAGCTAGGTATGCGAGAATAGTTTATAATAGCTTTCAACAAATTACTATCCATTTTTGATAATGGTTCTCAACTGGGCAAATTGAATTGGTCTGTGGGCAATTATTTACCACTTTGGAGGGATTAATTTATTCATTAATAAATAAAATACAGCTGTTCGAATATTTATAGGTAATTAATAATTTTTATTTAATGAACATGTTGTGGGCAAATAAATCCATTTACATATTTGAATTGGGCAAATGAAAATCTATCGATTTTGATTTTTCCCCATAATTTTTTGGAAATTGTGCTGGCTGGAACGGGGGAGGTCTTGAAAACTATTATATTTTGAAGTAGTCAGCTAAACCTCCCTTACCCTAGCCTGCAAAGTATAATGGACAGTAAAAATAAAAAATACCATTCGAAACATCTCTAATTGAATCCTCCAAAAATGCTCATTATTTTAATTGAACCCCTTCAGTTGTCCCAAAAAAAATTAAAAACTATGATAATTTTTTCGTTTTTTGTAACTGCGATATCTTTAGTAATACTTAATATTTTTGTAAAAGAAACAAGGCAAAAAATTGAACCTTTGCTCGTTTTAATTGCACCCCTCTCACTTTTTCAAAATTATTAATATATATAGTATGTCAAAAACAACAATCTAACTTTATTGTATGTTCTTTTCAATTAGATTATTGGGTTATTTGGAAAGAACATACAATAAAGTTAGATTGTTGTTTTTGACTGCAACGATCACCGAAAATCGTTAGACTCGCGCGAGGTTAATGAGCGGCTAAACGAGAGGAGCCGCGTTCGGTTCGCGAGAGAGAGAGAGCGCGTAGGGGCAATGACCGGGAGGGGAGGCTCCGACCGGCAGTATGACTGTGTCACTCAGTCCGCCTGTGTCGAGCTAACCTCTGTTCCCGAGCCGTTCCAAGTTTTTCGTTTTGGTGGTGCGAAGTGCGAGGTCAGAGGTGCGAACTTGCGTGCGGTGTGCTAGCAGCAGCGATAGTAGCAGCAACAGCAGCAGCAGCAGTAGCAGCAACAGCAGCAGCAGCAATAGTAGCAACAGCAGTAGCAGCAACAACAACAGCAGCAACAGTACTCGCGGCGGTGCGGCGAGCAGCGAAGCGGCGTTTCAGCGATTTGCTATTCGGATACGGTTGGCCACCGTATCCTCATCGTTCTCGCGGTAGGTGCACCTTCCCCCTTTTTATTATTGTTATAGCGAGCGATCCCGCGCAGCGTGCGCGAGGTAATTAGTTGTTGCGTGCGAGCGGTTAGTTCGCGGTAATCGCGGTTTTCTCTCTCTCTCTCATTTAGCGTGTGTTGTCATTCGCGCAAGCGTGCGCAAGTCTCTCGGCAAAATCCCCGTGTAATTGAAACGCTTAAATAAAGTGAGTATTAATCTTTATTAACCCATTAAAGCCCACGCTAAGACTGGTTGAGATAGCGACAAACAAACTGTGCTATCTTTTGCATAAGTGAAAAATAAAATATACGTATTTTTTTTATGTTATTTTCAATTGTTTATAACAAATTATTTAAACAAATTACAAAAAAATTCATAATTATCAAAATCTAAATGCGGGAATCGATTCTGGAGGTGAAATCAAGACGAAAACCTATATAACACTTTTTTGTCAGAATTCAATTTGTTAGTGTAACGTAGGAATAAACAATTGCATGTTGGGGAGAAAAAGTGACCATGTCAAGTCCCAAGCAAAATCTATCTGGAATAGCAAAAAATAAACTGTGCTATCCTTTGCATAAGTGAAAAATAAAATATATATATTTTTTCTTATGTCATTTGCAATTGTTTATAACAAACTATTTAAACAAATTATAAAAAAATTTATAATTTTCAAAATCTGAATGCGGAAATCGATTCTGGGGGTAAAGTTTAGACGAAAACCTATATAACACTTTTCTGTCAGAGGCCAATTAGTTATTGTAATGAAGGAAGAAACATTCGGCCTCCTGAGAGTGTTTCAAAAAATCGTATAAAATGAAGCTAATTATTGTATTTATCCATCAATATTGGCATGAATTATTGTAAATATAATCGGTGGGATTGAATTATTGTTCATTGCCATGTCCTTCTTTATGACTTTTGCAAACAGGCATAGAACATTTCTCACAATACCATTCCGTTCTTGTCCGACATGTTGAAATTCCACATTTCCTAAGACTCCCATGTTTCATCACGTGTTCTTGGGATGAAGTTTCACTCTGTTTCTGTCGTTTGGGGGGACGTTTGGAAGATAACTTGTCAATATAATATTCACAAACTTCTTGAACAATATCTTTGGAACCTTTTCTTTCGTCTGGATGTAACTTATTGTAAATCACTGTAGCGTTTGCTAAGGATGCTTGGATGAGCCGTAATACAAGGCACCATGTCCATTTCTTACTTCGAATTGTAGGCATCAAAGCATTACAGTGTTGATCATGTAGATCGACGCCACCCATGTGTTCATTATACATAGAGAAACAATGAGGAAAAAGAATAGATTTTTTCGATGATTCCTGCCATCTCTGCATTTCAACTTTTGGTTCATTTCCATATTTCGAAGAGAGAATCGATACTGGCTTTGAGTCCATAACTGTAATATAATTCAATTTTGAATTCACTTCATGCATTGAAATAGTGTATCCTCTTTTAGCTTTTTTTGGCATTTCGACTTTCACTTTCACACGATTATGCCGAACAGTTCCTGTCGCCGATAAACCATTTTTTTTTCAAATGAATCATAAGATCTGGGTTTGTGAAAAAGTTGTCAAAATAAATATGATACTTTTTCAGTTCTTCTCTCTGTGTTTTTTCTAATAAATTCGAAAGTAACTTTATCACCACTCTAGACCCTAAACCAACGGCAACTAAAGGATTTCGTTCATCGATTCCTGATTTACCAGTGTAAATATCAAGATCATATATATACCCATCAGAAGAACAGACTGCCCATTCTTTTATTCCAAATCTAATGGGTTTATTCCTTATACATTGCTTGATACCAAACCTACCAAAGTATTTTACCATTATCTCATCTATTGATAAATTATAGTCAAAGAAACCAAATTGCATACAATTCTCACGAAACATATCATACAGAGTTCTAACCTTCCAGACTTTATCATTTTGATCAGTTTCTTGAAGTTTATAGAATCGTATGTTCTTTTTTATGGTAACGAAATTATTTCTAGACATAAGTTCCGCAATTACTGGACACTGAAGTATTCGCTTTTTTGACCAGTAATCACGAATACTTTTTCTAGAATTGAAGATAGTAATCATTATGATTGTAATAAATTTTTCTAGATCATCCATACATAAATCAAAATGATTTTCAGAAGTGGCTTCAATGATATGGTTTTTCATTGATTTCGAAAAGAAAACCTCAAACAACTCAAAAGCATTTTTGGATTGCAATGATGAAATAGGTGAAATATTGAAGTTGCTCTCGACATGCGGAGAAATATCATTCAAAGCATCATTTTTCCAACTGTACTTATGATTCGGTTCCAACAATTTCTGAGTACTTGTGTATGTACTTTTAACATGTTCGTAAGAACCTGATGGTAATTCATTTGATAATGTATCTTCATTTGGATCACCGTCCGAATCTCCATCTGAACTTTCATATTCATTAGGAATGAATGCTATATCAATATGTTGACCTTCATCACTATCAGAATCTTCAACTAAATTTGGTAGATCGCTAATTCTCCGTCTCGGCATTATCAGTAACGTTACCAATTTAGAACAAAATAAAAACTAAAAGTTTTCCGAAATTATTATTTCAAAGAATAGATCCAATGTATAAATGTTTTCAACCGTTAGCCCGCCACTCAAACGTGATCTCTAACACGGAAGGATTTACGAAATGAAATAAACTTATCCAATTACAGTATAAGATCTCAAAATTTATCAGTAAAAAATACTGATATGATTCCAGATACCATGTGTGAGAATGAAAACACTTATTTGTCAATAGTTTATTTCTACATAAAGATATCAAATTGAACTCTGACAAAAAAGTGTTATATAGGTTTTCATCTCAATTTTATCCCCCGAATCGATTTCCGCATTCAGATTTTGAAAATTATGAATTTTTTTGTAATTTGTTTAAATAATTTGTTATAAACAATTGCAAATGACATAAGAAAAAATATATATATTTTATTTTTCACTTATGCAAAGGATAGCACAGTTTATTTTTTGCTATTCCAGATAGATTTTGCTTGGGACTTGACATGGTCACTTTTTCTCCCCAACATGCAATTGTTTATTCCTACGTTACACTAACAAATTGAATTCTGACAAAAAAGTGTTATATAGGTTTTCGTCTTGATTTCACCTCCAGAATCGATTCCCGCATTTAGATTTTGATAATTATGAATTTTTTTGTA